GAAGGCTCTCTGCCTAGTAGAGGACAGATGATAAGTCCGGATGTTGGGGACTTCAAGCAAATTTTAGTCTTCGGATCGAAGTAATCTCTGGGGTTGGTAGGGGGATAAGTGGGCCCTCAGGTACGCCACAAACAAAGAATAAGAGGAAAGCTATGAGGAATACCATTGCTTTAACTATGTGGATCTTCGTTGCCAGTGTGATGTCTCTACTCTTCACTATTTTATTGAGATTGGACATTGCTCTCCTCCCAAGAAGTAAGCGTCTCCTGATTTTCTGGCTGCAGTCTGCGTCTGCAGTAATCTTTGTACCTAGAGATACAAGATCTGTCATGCCTCCACATTTTCTCCCTCTATTTTCCAGTTGTCAATCATTCTTGTTGCCATAATTTTGGGGATTTTTATGTTTAGCTGCAACCCAGCTTTTGCGCTTTCTTCTTTCACCTTGATTAGAAGGCTCCTCAGCTCCTCTTTGCTTTCGGCCATCAAAGTGGTGTAATCTGCATATCTAAGGTTGTTAATGTTCCGGCAATTTTCACCCCAGCCTTGCATTTGTCAAGCCCCACACATTGCATGATGTGTTCTGCATACAAGTTGAATAGGTTGGGTGAGAGTATACAACCCTGCCGTACGCCTTTCCCAATCTTGAAACAGTCTGTTGTTCCATGGTCAGTTCTTACTGCTGCTACTTGGTCCATATACAGATTCCTCAGGAGAGAGATAAGGTGATTTGGTATGCCCATAGCACCTGATTGCTGATTATAGGATTGAAATTAGAGAATGGTGGCAGCTACTATAGATGATTTCATTGCATCCCAATTTCCTACTCAAGCATAGGAGAAAAGACCACCTTGGTGAAGGAAGTTCGCTTACAATTGATTTGGAGCAGTTCACCATCACACCCTGACCATTGTATACCCAGAGTTGCACAAGTTCTCTAGCTACTGCTCTGAAATATAGTTAAGAGTCCTAGAGTCAAGACTTGTTTAATTTAATTGCCTTATCGTCATACGCCAAGCGCAATTCTACAGTTAATTTAAAATCAAGTTGTAGCTATAGAAGCTGTTTTAAAATGTTCACTGTTTTGAGGTGGCAGTAAAATTAATTGTGTGGGGGTTTTTTTGCAAAGAGATCACAGCCATTGTCTTTTATATTCACTATTATTTAATCTTCTACCAAAGTCAAAATACAATATTTCATTCTCGACACCTAATCCATGAAAGAGTCCTTGGAGATCCATTATTCCTATAAAATAATTGATGTGCATTGTAGGATGACTGTCCCTTATAGAAGGCATATTGAGACCATTTTTGCTTTGCCACAGGACAAAAAGAAAAAAGAAGACACACGACTGTGATTTGCTTTAAAGTAACCTTAAAATTATTGTTTTGGAGGAGAAGGAAGAAGAGGGAGAGGAGGATTAAGAAGAAGAGGAAAGCTAAGTGGGTTGTTGTAGGTTTTTCCGGGCTATATGGCCATGTTCTGGAGGCAATTTTTCTCCTGACGTTTCGCCTGCATCTATGGCAAGCATCCTCAGAGGTAGTGAGGTCTGTTGGAAGTAGGAAAAATGGGTTTATATATCTGTGGAATGACCAGAGTGAGACAAAGAGCTTTTGTCTACTGGGGCTAGCTGTGAATGTTTCAGCTGATCACCTTGATTGGCATTCAATGGCTTGGAAGTGCCTGGGGGGAATCTTTTGTTGAGAGTGA